TCATCTCTGCTCTGATGCCTGGAGCACCTTCTCTCCCTCCTTCTTCATTGACCTTGGTGTCTGCAGAGTTGTTGCTGTCACGTATTCTAACTCCTCTCTCCGGTTGTGGTTGTGCAGTAACATTTTCCCCTTCTTAACTATGTTATCTCAGAGGTGCTTCCACCATCGCTGATGGGCTTGGCCTTGGCCAGCAGTGGGTCCTTCTTGGAGAGCCAGCTGGCAGTGGTTCTGTTGGACACAGGGGAAGCTTCTGGCAGCTTCTCACAGAAGCCATCCCTGTAGCCCCCTGGCTTCCAAAACCTTGCCACGCAAACCCAATACACAGCCCCCTCTGCTCCTGCAGCTGTGCTAAGGAACCCCCTGCCGCAGTTACCTGCTGAGGCCCTGTGTGAACTAAGGGCTTTTCAGGTTCCAGCATTCATCTGGAGCTTCCTTCCGGAGGCTGCTCCGTGTCCGTAGCTGAGAGGATTGCAGGGTGTGCCGGATGGAGTGACGTGCTGTCTGGCGTGGCCGAGACAGTTTCAGTGAAACTCCTGTTGCTGAGACACTTCAGCTGACATCACCCCGCGCCACGGGCTGGCTGATACGCCGCTTGGCAAGGGCTGTGTCAGCACCAGCCCTCCCCGAGCCGCTGCCTGGGGCTTGGTGTAACATCGGTTGTGAGTGGGAATTTCTCTCCGCTGCCAGTAGGTTGCATCCCTTGCTGTTACCAGGCGGAGCTTCTTTAAAAAAAAAATGAAATCAGTGGCCTACATCACCAGATCCAGCAGCACAGGCTGTCTTTAACTATGGGAGTATTCTTCTATAACCATCTCCACACCAAATAGTGCTCGGCGTCCTGCTTCCCTCACACAGGATGAATCTAGTCAGCTATGTCAGAGGGATCTGACATGTCTGCATGCTGTCTGCAGCTACCTCACAGGCATTCGATTATAGTAACGTCTGCCTCATCAGACACCTGGAGGGACAAAATTTAAGGGGATGCTGTTCCTTTTTTAACACTTAATTTCTCTTTTATTACCTGGGTTAGAGCCTTTGTTCCAAACACAGCCCAAGCTGCCTTTGAAATCACTAATGCGACTGCACTCAGGTGCACCGCATCATTTCCTTTCTTTTTCAGATAGTCTCAGTCTCATTCTTTTTCTCCCTTTCTTCTTAAAGCGAGCAGCCTCTGGGGTGTTTTGCAGTACTAGTGATGTTTAACATGAAGAGGCTGAGAAACTGATGTATGCAACGATTAAGTCACTTTCACAAGGTCATGCGGCGAATCACTGGCGATGCCAAGAATAGCACCCCAAGTCTCTTGGCTCTCTCTAGCCCACCCTCAACACTACAGCCTGCCTTTTTCCTGGTGAGCATGATCTGATTCATAATGCAGCAGTTCTGCTGTAAGGCTGGCTACCTCTCTGCGAGCTGTCTCTGCTGCTGCAGAGAAAAGCAGTCAGGCTGAGGCAGCAGCAGAGATTGCACGCGTCTGTAGCAAAAAACCCCAGAAACGGTGTTCAGCAGCTTATCTTATCTACAGATAAGCTCATAAAATGGACTGACTGGTTAAAAATAGGTTTTTAAAGTTCTTGGCAAACATCTCAAACTTTAGATTCTTTGTTTTTTTTCTGCAGAACAAAAATACCATTTCAATGATTCTGATTCACGTTGGCTTTTTTTGGTCTTTCTGGAAAAATACCAAAGTATTGATGGGTGGTTTTTGCTTTTAATTGTGCTCTTGAGTGCTAAACCTATTCCTGCTATTTGCTTGCAGTATGTTTAGGCTATGTTTAGGCAAATGCAAATGGAAGTGGTTATTCAGTGCCTTTGGCACACCGAACAGAATGTACTGAACTCCCGGGGCTTGTTACAAAGCCTCAGCCTCCAGCATTAACAAAGCCTGTGCAGGCAATAGCTAAAATATAAGAACTACCTGAGCTTGACAGAGGGAGTTCAGAGGATCTGGGAAGATGATAGATCATGAACTTGTGCCCAGTTTTTTTTTCCTGTGGATTGGGTAAATGAAGTAAGGGGACTCTGGCACACGTACTGGCGGCTTAGGGTGCTCTCGAGGGTGCTGTGCTGTGCGTGCCTGTGCTGCCTGTGATGCTGGGGCCAGGATGAATTAACACTGTGCTCTGTGGATCCTTTTGCAGCGGGTAGTTTATCGATGGAGTTCTTGTCTGGCTGTACCAACACTCAGCTCAATATGTTCCTGAATCCATAATGGAGGCTTTCCTTCAAACACCACAGTCTTTGGAAGTAAAGCACAACAGTGCAAAGCTGCTGCCTGCTGCGTGTCCGTTGGCAGCAGCTCGGGATTTTTCAGTTGTTTGCCTTGTTACTTAACCTATTTTAAGCTCTGATGGAATAAGGATGGCATTTGATCACAGTACTGGGCACAACTGTTTGGCGTTTATAACCCATGTTTTAAACCGGAGGGTTTTTCCGTATATGATTGTGTCTTCAAATAACTTTAGACTCATGGTTTTAGACTTGAGTGCTCTTTTGCTGGCCTTTGCTGTTTCCCCTTACGAGAGAGCTCCTGACTTTCACTCAGATGGGTGTTGTTTACCCAGGTGAGAACCCCACAAAGGAGGGAGCATAGTGGTGACTGAGGGGGCACATAGACTGAACAGAGCCCTTCCTAGCCTCCATCTGTGATCTGGTTCTCGTGAGGGGAATTAAAGATGTCTTTGTATCTCTGTCTTTTTATTGGATTTTCTTTATCATCTCTACATGCATGCCAGTGTCTTCTGATCTTGGGTTTATTAAGTAGGTGGCACACTATGTAAAGAGTTTAATATCTAGTGCTACAGGATAAATCTCTCCCACAGTGGAAACGATTAGCTGCTAATGCTAGTTCTGTGTTCATCTGCCTCTAGTATGCTGAATGAGTGGCCTCCACCTATTGCGTAAAATACTTTTACAACTGATGCTCTGCATTTTACCCACAGCACTGAGAGACTTCTGAGAGCAACTTGTCCTGCCAAGCTTAGTCCCTCAGCTTTTTAGTGGATTAGATGCATTTATGGTTAGCAGTGGAGTTTAGTTTTGTGTCATTTATTACTGTGCACAGCAAGGCAGAAGGGCTTGTTTCTTCTTGCAAGTGAACGTAGCCAGGAGATGAATGTTTGCCATCTGGGAGGAAAACCAGAACTGGCAGTAACATGATGTCAGGGCTGGAGGAAAGCAGAAGGAAGCGCTCGGTTAAGAGGGCTAGAGTGCAGAGAGGAGAGGAGGAGAGGCAGGTAGTGAGACGGCTGTCATGGTTGTCTCTCCTCTCCTTACATAATAATCAACGAAACTCAGGAAAGTAAATTACCAAGGCTGCTGCTTTACACTTGCTTCACAGGTAGTCTTTGGGTAGTAAGGAAAACCATGGGACCTCTTACCTGCTTTATTCCATATAAGTGGTTTTCAAGGCCCACACGGATAACTAACACCCATAAAATTAAGACACATTTACTGTGATTTGAAATTAGATTTCTACTTGTATATTCCTCTGCTTTTGTTTTTTGATGGCCAAGTTTTTATAAAATCTCTGCTTTTTTTATTTATTGTATATTTCCAAGCTGCACAGGCATGTGCCAACATTGGGGTAATTGTGCACAACATTCATATACACAAATATTTGATACTTGTGACACCCTGGGACAGGGGTTGGAGACCTGGTCTAATCTCTGAAATCAGGAGCCCAGTTATGGGACTGCTGGGTTATTGTGCAAGCTGGTGCTTGATGCGTGAAAGAAAACCACATTTTGTATGAAGTAAAATTACAGCTGCTGAAACCTCTGTGCTGTATATAACGTAGGTTAGAAAGAAATCTGGAACAGCTGGTACGTTACAGTAAACTATAGTTTGTGCTGTTGGGGGCCTAAGGCACAGCCTGTTACTGCAAATGCTATTTCCTCCCAGAAAACCTTAACTTGCAAGGTATAGCAATTTGGCCAAACACAGGTTTGTAACACCCCAAAAGCCATGTATGCAGTCACTAAAGACATTGCTGTTTGAGCCAGCTTTTAATGAGAACTGCAAAGAATTTGATAATTTTAAAAAAAAAAAAGCTAATTCATTGCCTAAACTTAGAGTACAGTCAAATGAACCACTAGCTAACACAAAAAAGCAAGTTCAAGCCATTTGTGGGAAGGGAAATGGCCTTTACTGCTGACTCCTTCTTAGTATTCCCAATAGTATCCAGTGCTTCACGCACCCAGGAAAAAATAGGTGGTATTGCCCCCAACACCCAGGGGGTGTTGGAGGCCACAGCAGGCCCCTCGTCCATGGTTGCTCCTCATGCTTTCATAACTGAGCCTAGAAATGGCCTTGTTCTGCTGGGGGATTGGGCTCAGTCAGGCTTGATGGTGGGGAGTGACCATGTGGTCTCTCAGTGACCATGTGGAACAGGCAAAAGGGCAAGGGGCTGTAGGTGTGCCCGGCCATGGCCCCCACTCTTGCCCCCCAGTCCCAGAGATGGGGTGGGCAGAGGGCTCTGTGCAGCCCCTCCATGCAGGGCTGGGGCCGGCCGTGCTCCCTGTGCCACCGGGCAGTGAGGGCTGTGCCAGGTCTGCAGCAGGGCTGCCACACTGACCTGGCCTCTGGGGTTGGCATTTGGGAGCCTGTTGTAACTCAGGGTCAGAAGACTGATTGATTTTATTTTTTCCCCACAGAACTTAAAAGGGTGAGGAGACTGGTGCTGCTGTTGAGTGTGCATTCTGTGACTATGCTCCACAGCTCGCTGGAGGCAGCAGCAGGGGATCCCGGGCAGCCCTGGGGAGTCGACCTGACCTCCCTTTTGGGGTCCCTGGCTGATGGTGCTCTAGGGCAGGCCACAGCCAAATGTGGGCAGGCCACCTTGGAGCAAAATGTGGAGGGACTTTGCAGCTCAGAACCATTTAAGACAAGGCTAGCGTCATATCCCATCCTGTTTTTACTAAATCAAGATTTATTTTTTTCCTCCAATGGAGCTTGTTCATACACATGCTTCATTGTTATGTCCTTTCTGTTGTTTTCAGGTTGATGAACCTTTCTGCAGCAAGATTTGAAACAGCCAGATTTCAGCTTGGATCAAAGTCCCTAGGATTCACTTGTGATTTTCAGTAAGGCTTCTTTAAGGTATTCTTAATTAACATTATGAAGTCATAAACTTTTATTTTGGGTGTCTGAAATGCCACAGGAATTTTCTGATGAGGGTACCTTTCAAAAAGTTACTCTGCTTCAGTGTTATGCTTTTTGCTTGTAATTTCTGAAGTGACCTGTGTCCTGTAAAAACAATTTTTCACAAAGCTTTGAACATGTTTTCCAGTATTTCTTGGGGGTGTGCTTGATCCAAGCTCTGCTTTGGTGTGAATGCCTGAGAAGCTGAAAAAGAAACTCATTGCTTTCTGCATCTCGCCTCCCATTTTTCTCTTGTGCTAAGGGCTATAAAGCAGAAAAGTAATTGAAAAATTGTAGCTTAAGACAGTGTTGTATATGTACTTGAGAGGGGTGGTTACCTTTCCTTCTTGCCTCTTTACTCTGCTGTCAGTGGATTTAGCTAGAAAACGGAAGATTTTTGTTTCCCTGAGGCAGACTGGCTGGCAGGTCTTCTTGGCGCTGTCGCTGGCAGCCTCTGCTGGCCCATGAGCTTCTGGCCCCCAGACAGCCTGCCCGTCCTGCAGTCACTGCAGCAGCTGACTGCTGGGTGACCAGCTTGCTTTACTTAGAAGGTTGGGACATCCACAGGCTGTAACACGATAAATAGTAAGCAGCTGAACTCTTTGGAGCATGCAAAGAACAACACAGAGAGGCTGGATTTTGTTGCATTTTGAGCTCTATCCATAGAAAGCAAAAGGAATACTGTGGTTTTCCTTATTTGTGTGGTCCCGATGCGGAGTATTGTGACTTGCAAAGAATGGTTGAAGCAAACAATGTTTGTGCTTGTACAAGGGGTTGAAATGTTTCCTGTCATGGAAAAGATGAACAAGCCCATTCTTTTCTGAGACCTGTGAGTACTGTCAGCGTTGCTGCTATTTTAATTTATGAGCCGCTGCCCTGTGTGGTATCCACACCGTTGCCATGCATAGTCAAGTGTTGCCTCCCCAGGAGTGGCATGAAGGGAGACGGAGGGCACGAGCCCTCCCGGTACTCCCTCTGCCTGTTTCCTGCTCTTCGTGTTTTGCTGTGTACTGCACATCACTTGAGCCAAAGCAGGGGCAGGAGAGCACAAACCAAAGGTGTCAGCAGAAGAGGAGGGCATAAAGGGAGGGGAAACGCGGGAGCAGTAGGTAGAGAAGGTCAGGACACCATCCTTGATGCCAAAAATCTTTCTGTGGCTGTGGGTCAGCACCCTGTGCTGAGGGAAGAGCAGTCCTTCAGAATTATTCCCTGTCCTTCCTGGCTGGTGACAAGCCTGGCCGCAGCAGCCTGTACACTAAGCAGGGAGCAAGAGCTATCCTTTCCTCCTCATGGGTGGAAGAACCTGGCCAGCCCTGAAAGAAGCCGTGCTATATGTGACCCCTCTGGTCAGTGCTTCAGGAGTCAAACCTCCTGCTCTGGCAAGTTTGGAGTGATGTTCGCGGAAGACTAGCGATAAACTAGCCTGATGCAGTTCTGAAGCTCTTGTTCCCAATCAGACATGATAGAAAAGTCTTATTCTACTGATGGATGATGCAGTACTGATAGGTGACATCTCTGTAAGGATGAAATTGTCAGCTAAGTTCTGCTTTTGGAGGCTCTACACATGTGGAAGACAGCAGCTATGTTTGCTGGAAGCAGCTAGAGGACACAGAACTGTCAGATAGCTTCTTGGCTTCTGATCTGGACAGCTCTGACCAAGAAACACTAAAACATTAAATAGAAGAACTTGCAGGTTCTTTTTGAAGTTTTCTTGCTAGTGTCGCAGGCCAAGAGGACCATATCTTTCTGGAGAGTACAGTGAAAAGCCCTGGGTGTGTTTGCCATTATTATGGGCAATCATTATCGGACTTGACTGAGAAGCAGCTTATGTATGTGCAACAGGTGTTCTGAGCCCAAACTTGGAGAACAAGATGCTGATTGCTCCTAAGGCTGTTGTTTTCACAGGTGATCTGAAAGGGACAGTTGGACAGAAATCCCCTTTAGTGAATCTGAGGCACTTGAATCTTTTTTTCCTGTCAAAGAGGGAAGATGGCCTGATTATCACTTCTGTAGTCATTACCTAAATGGCTGGTGCATCATCTTGAGCCAGCAAATACCCCTTGCAGTGGGTACACAACCAGACAGCCAAGAGACTTGTTGGAGTGTTTCCTTCCCTGGGAGCAGAAGCTGCTCCCTGCCACTCTCAGGCACCAGGAGCTGCTCTTCCCTAGACTGATGAATCCTTCACATCAGCAGAGTTGCTCTGTCTGATCTATCTCCACTCGGGTTGCCCCTTACTATCCAGCTTGCTCAGTAGGGACATGGCCATAAACCTTTCTACAGCTTGGTACCTTTGAAAGTCTCCTGAAGTACATGGGCCAGATTACTCTGGGAAGAGTAGTGATTCAGTGGTGAAGCTGGCAGAGCTTGCCTGTACTTTGTATTAGAGCTTGTTCCTCTGTGTGTGTGTGCACTCATGCATATCTCCTCTTCAGCACTTTATCTCCCTCTTCTCTTTAGTGCTTTATCTCACTTCTGCTCTTTAGTGCCCATTATCTCTTGTCAGCTATCTGCATTACAGGGTGTAGGACACTATTTAGGAGGAGTGCTGTGAATCAACCTTATCTGTCATCTCCAAAAGAGCTGCGCATGTGCAGGTGATGCATGTTTCACCTGAGTGTGCTTTTCCTAGGACAGCATAATATATATGTGATCTGGCTGCTGTAGCACATCACATACTTCCATCTCTGCTTGGGTTGTTTTTTGTAGACAACTGAAGCTAAGTAGTCTGGCTGCTGTGTGTCTGCAGTTCCACCATCCTGATTCGCTTTCCTCTATCATTCATTAACGGGTGAATACCTTATGCAAGCGCTATTGATTAGCTTCACAACCACCTGTCTGTAAATCATTTTCCATCTCTGGTTGTGAGTAATATCCGCATGCTTTGTTCATCTTCCACTTAATGACCCTGGCTCTCCTCCTGATTCTCAGCAGCGTGGCTCCACTGCGCACGAGGAAATTATGCAGTGGTCAGGCTGGAGTGAGGAAGGAAGACTCTGTCCTCCTTTATGCTCTTCGCAGATACCTGAGGTAACTAGAGAAAGTGGCTGGTGTCCAGGATATGCAAATGCAAGTGTGTGACAAATGAACCAGTTGTCTGATTTTTGGTGAATTAAGTAAAGCAGTTGTACTCGACCAGGCAGTGTGCTGGGGAAGGGCCTTCCTGTGTTCCCGTGGCCACAGGAAACTCACCTGCTAAAATGGAAGCCTGGTGAGCAGAGCCCAATTGGATTTTTGTCCCCAGTGCGGCATTATTGCTTGTGGACTGCTGCCCTTGGCCTGTGGTTGCAAAAGATGAATAGCTGGCAGGAAGGCAGCAAGAATGTGCTACTTAAACATACATTGCCTAATGGCTGTCTTCCCAGTGCCCAGATGTATGGCTTGCTCTAGGACGCTGGGACCTCCCTCTCTGCTGCGGTAGACACTTCTATTATTAGCTCAGTGGCAGCTTTCCATATGCCAACACTCGTGACTGCAGGACTGTTTAATTTTCACTTCTCTGAAGTATTTAATTTGTATTCATTATTTCTATTCATTAAAGACCAAACCTCGAAGTCCTTACCTAGATTTTTGCTCTGTTAGCGCTGAAGCACGGATCCTGTCTAATGAACAGACCACTACGCCTACGCAGAATCAGAGGCAGGATAATGTCTTAAATCTGGAAAGTCAGTCACTACTTGACTAATCAGTAGAAAACCCCTGTCTTCAGAGATGGGCGTCTAGTCTCCCTTCTTCTGTTAACTTCTCTCCAGAGAAATGAAAAATCAGATCTGCTAGAAGTATTGCCTGCTTGCGTTTCAGTGCCTGACAGTGAAGATGTGGTGCGCGGTTACCAGTGCCTGTAACTGCAGGTGCTGGCACTTCTCTGGCGGCTGAGGATAGCTGCTGCTGTCAGATAATCACCCAGCAATTCACTGCTGGGGGCCTCTCTTTAATTATTGAATGCCAGAATAGATATATATTGAATTACCTTGCTGGCAAATATCATCTCCAGCATCTCATGTAACTCTACAATATTCTCCGTTTTCCTACTTGCATAACATAAAATCTTCTTCAAAGAATCTAAAAAAAAAGTCAAAATATGTTTTTTATATTCCTTATATAGCAGTACATGTTCTCAGAGAAGAACAAGTTGTAGACTGGCTTTTGAAGATAGCCTTCCCTGGCAGTCAGTAGCATGTGATTACTCTTGTTTAGTCAAGCCTGCCCTTGGATGTGCAGCAGAATGAAGCAGGATGTGCATTATCAAACCAACCAACCAAAAAAAAAAAAAAAGAGTAACCTAATTTTGCTCTCACTTCTCTGAAGTATTTAATTTGTCAGCTGTTGCAAAAGATCTGGCTAACATGTCCTGAGGAAACTGCAACCTGTAGTCCTGGTCCTGTGGTGTGCAATGCTAGGAAGGCTGCCTGTGTCCCTGCAGGGTCCTACTGGAGTCACTTGCAGGAGCACCCAAAGACAGGGGGTGAAGAGAGAAAATCAGTATTTGCATTTGCAATTTTTCCCAGCTGGCAGAGATGCGAGTAAATGCCAGTGTTCCCCCTCATCCCTCCTCCTCTGTCCTGCTGGTACATACTGATCACAGGCATTGGATCTGCAAGCAGTGGTTGAGAAATTGGCCACAGATCCCTTGACCTTTAGTTCCTGTAGAATCCTCTGGATAATGTTTTCAGTGCTCCCAGACACAAGACAATTTTTATACACATTATCTCTAAATGCGTCAAGCAAAATCTGTCATTCCTTGCTTTGCAAGAGAAATAAAACGTGCCTTCTCGTTTCCCAAACTGTGCTGAACTCCATGTAATCCTGGCAACAACTTACAAAAGAGAGGAAAAATATTACACAATGCTCGACTGGAAGGAAAGGCAATACTGTGGTTAATCAAACATTTTTGTCATTTACAAGTTTCAGAGAATTTCGTGCTGCTGAATGATGTCAGGCAGGCAGCCCTGGAGCCCGAGATCCCTCCTTTGTAACCACCACGATATGTCACATGCAGCAGCCCTAGCAGGTGCTGACAGAATAATTACAGTGCTCGAATTTGTAATACTGCAGGCATTAATGGGCTCCTGAAGCTGGTGAAAGGAGAGCTCCATCTACCGTTGTACAAAGAGAAGGCAAAAATAGCTAGAATGGCCTTCTCCCACACACACTGGAAAACCACCGGATACCATGTATTACCCCCTCTTTTTTATCTCTCTTTTTTTTTTTTTTTTAATCCTCCTCCCCACCCCCCGCTTTCCTCCTATGGCTTTTAGAGCCCTCCGCCCCCCTCTTTTTTTTTTTTCTTTTTTAATTCCCCCCCCACCCCTTTCCTCCTATGGCTTTTAGAGCCCTCCACCTCAAATGCAGTTCCCTGCTTTGGGTACTGTGCAGGTATGTAGCTGGGGACAGTCCCTGCTTAGCCATCCCCAAGCAGGCGAGTCAGACAAAGGATTTGAATGCAGCAGCATAGAAACTAAGTGACTTTTACATGCACATGTGGAATCAGGAGCAGAACCAGAAGCTAACCCCAATTTCTAGTCTCTTTCCCTGACAAGAGGGGTTTCATTCTCTAAAATGTGTTGAATGCAGAGATTTCTCAGAGGGCTCAGTCAGTGCTCGCACCTCAAATGCAGTTCCCTGCTTTGGGTACTGTGCAGGTATGTAGCTGGGGACAGTCCCTGCTTAGCCATCCCCAAGCAGGCGAGTCAGACAAAGGATTTGAATGCAGCAGCATAGAAACTAAGTGACTTTTACATGCACATGTGGAATCAGGAGCAGAACCAGAAGCTAACCCCAATTTCTAGTCTCTTTCCCTGACAAGAGGGGTTTCATTCTCTAAAATGTGTTGAATGCAGAGATTTCTCAGAGGGCTCAGTCAGTGCTCGCTTTAGAGCTACAGAAGCAGGGAAAAGCTCTAGATAGCACGTGGTTCTGTGGCTTTATGCTTGATTTGCCTCTGGTGTTTCTGAACTTACTGTATCTTAGATAACCAAAGTATTTCTTGTGTCAGCATATGTAGGCATTTATATGAAAATTGAATCCTGTGCAACACCCAGATTCCTTTGCTACTAAACTTGGGGATGCAACGAGGGATGTGAGCCCTGAACTGAGGTCTGAATGTGAATTCTGCAAGTAAATTCCATCCTCAGTTCTTTCAGCTAAAATCTTACTCTCTGCCCTTCTGATCATGCTTTTCAAGTGTTGAATGCAGAGATTTCTCAGAGGGCTCAGATACTACATCTTTAGAGCTACAGAAGCAGGGAAAAGCTCTAGATAGCACGTGGTTCTGTGGCTTTATGCTTGATTTGCCTCTGGTGTTTCTGAACTTACTGTATCTTAGATAACCAAAGTATTTCTTGTGTCAGCATATGTAGGCATTTATATGAAAATTGAATCCTGTGCAACACCCAGATTCCTTTGCTACTAAACTTGGGGATGCAACGAGGGATGTGAGCCCTGAACTGAGGTCTGAATGTGAATTCTGCAAGTAAATTCCATCCTCAGTTCTTTCAGCTAAAATCTTACTCTCTGCCCTTCTGATCATGCTTTTCAAGTGGTAGTGCAAGTTCAAAGCTGAATATTTTTCACTGAGCTTTATCTTTGTAATAGGCTGAATTAAGACCTGCTGTTCAACTTCCAATTGTGCAGTTACTGGCCAGTTTTAATAGCTTCTAAAGGACAATGTGTGCAACTTAGTTCTAAAAAACCCAGAGATTTCAAGATTTACAATACTTGTAAAAAGTGCTAATTTTTCTCTTCAAGTGGTTTGCTGATAGTGAAAACATGTTGTTATTCTGTGCTTGTGGGGGACATCAGAAGTGTCTGAATTCTTAAATTTCCAGAAAAAGCTTAACTGATACTTGTTCTGCACTGATGTCAGGAAGAGTTTGTGCTTCTGTTACTTGACTGTGAGAGCTCATCTCAAGTTATGTGAACAGATGTTTCAGATTTGAGTTCAGCCTGGCAGAAGAGAGAGAACAGTCTAGTTCTCAGCATTTTCTGTCTTTCATAGTATTACCACAACCTCACATCTCCTAGATATGCTCTCAGATACCACATCTTCTGCAGATATTTGCAGTCCCTTTTCTGCCTGGGGAGGAAAAAAAACAGCAGTGATTTTTTTTTTTTAATTTTTTATTTTTAACGGGGTGTTTCTTTTTCATGAAACTGCAATGCAAACTCTGTGGAAGGAAAAGGAAATATTCACTTTATCCAGCCTAGTACTTCTCGTGTGGCACTGTACTGAGTGAAATGCGGGGGTAGAGGGTGTTGAGTGTCTCAAATCATAGAGGCCAGGACCTGAATGTTACATTGATGCTGGCCTTGGCTGTGTATATGGAGGTTTTTGTATCTAGGTACGTGTCTGACTGCTTTAGTGAGACTTTCCATGGATACAGGACCCATCAAGGACAGCACAAGTCACAGGAAAATATAATTTTGTAAGTTTTCCTGACTCTGATAAATGTGTTACTACCGTTGCATTTTCCTGTGTGAAATGACCCAGAGCTGTCCGAGCACATTACATACAGTCGTTACGCTAATTAACTCTATACTTCTCTATGAATAATCTGTAATTTCAGAGCTTCACACCTGTTCACTCAAATGCATTTTACTTGTTTATTGTTTTAACATGCGGAGCTGCAACTCTTTCTGTAAAACTGTAACAAACAATTAAGCCCCCCAATAACACAGAAGTCATCCTCTGTTTTCCACATCCTGGTGTGTGTTACACAGCCAAGCAGTCCTGACCGTAGCAGCTCGTATGTATGCAGCAAGAGGAAAAACAAAAGAAACATAAAATACTGCTCAGGACACAGCTGTCAACAATTAAACTGTGTGAGGCTTTGCTACAAGAGGTTATGAAGAAGCCCATGGAAATCTGAAACAGCTTTCAAAAGAAAGCACTGAAAATATGCGCCAGAAACCGAGGAATAGATTGCAGATGGCAAATATATGTCTCCACAGACTGTCAGGGAACAATTTGGTTTGACAAATGGCTGTGATCTACCATGGGGTTGTGCGGAAGATGAACCATCAGACTGTGG